TCTTTGGAAGTAATTAAAATAATAAAAAATTTTATTTATAAGAAAAATTATTTGTATGTAATATGAAAATCTGCTTCTTTTATAAATAACATTTACTTCAAAATTATAAAAGCCAATACAAATAAAACATAATTTATTGAATAACATTGTTAAAATAAGTACAATGAGAATAAAAAGAGTAATAATACTGTATTATTTAATACTTTTAATAAAAATTTCAATAGTATACTATCATTATGTTTTATTAGCTTCGTATAATTTTTAATCAAATAAATATTTTATTTAATTTTTTTAAATATTTAATAGCGATCCAGAGCGATAATATTTGTAATCATATTGATTTGCAGAAATATATTGTTCTACTTTAAAACAATAAAAATTATCATTTCGAATTTTTTTAATTTTTTGCTTGAAATTAAAAGAAAATCGAATTAAAAAAATTACTGTTTTATCGAAAAATATCTTTTTATAGTTTTAATGTTAATATTAATTCTAAATATTTTCTTATTCTTTAAATTTTTATTATGTAATAAAATATTAAAGTACTGTAGTCTATGAAATATATTAAAAGTTTTAATGAATACCAAAATTTCTATAAATATTAAATACGTATTTATAATTAAAATATGTAATAAACTGGATAATAAAAATTATTTTCATATAAAATTATTTTCTATTTATCATAACAGTTTATTTCTTAATATGCAGTTAAATAGTTTAAAAAAGTGTTAGGTATACGAATAAAAATAATCAAAGGCTTGTTTTTTATACTTACAGATATGAATAAGATCTATAATATGAATTTATTTATCTATTTACTTATTCAACATTAATACTATTTAAATATAATTACATTTTAAATAATACACACGCGCATGCGTAACGTGCGATATCATTGAATAAGATGCTAGACATAAATAAATAAATATTTTGTTAAAAAATTAACTAAGCTTTTATTAAACCTAAATATAATAAATTAAAAACTACTTTTGAATACATTACATTTTATATCTATATAACGATATCATCGTGGTATAAATGGCAATAACGGCATAAGTAACAAATATTTAATATTAAATAAAAAATATAAAGTCAAATTATTTATTATATTATAATATAATAAATAAATATATTTGTTATCCGAATATTTTAAGAATAATTTGCAATTGTGTTTGATTACTTCTATTATTTTAAATTATTTATTTCAAGCGTATCGAGATATTATTTTAAGTGACATTCACTATAGTATTAAATATTAAGGGATTTGAAGAATAGTTTTAAAAATAAAATAATATTTTTAATAAAATTAATGTTGTTATGAATAATTATATATTATTTAAGAGCTACAATATATATTTATATTTAAAAAAAATAAATTCAGTAAAATATAAAGAATTAACAAAATCCCTTAAAAAATTATTTTCTGCACGTGATGAATACGTAATATTAATGTTTTTCTAATAGTCTGAAATAGTTAAACGTCAGAAATTATTTTATAAGGAAATTTTCAAAAATTTTAGACCGATTAATTTACAATGTTCTTTTTAGAAATTGTATTCAAAGTAAAAAATGTTGAAAAAAATCTTACATAATTTTCATAGCAGTATCTCATTACGTAAAATTTATTACGATTTTTCATTCAAAGATCGAAAATACGTCACACTTTATTTTGAAAATACATTAATATATTCTAAGTGCTAGATTTACAGAATTTTTTAATAAGGAACTTTGATAAAATAATTTTTCAATTAAGAAACCCTTGCAACGAAATGACTTTCTAGAAAGGCATGGTTAAAAAACAGTTTAAATATTGTATACATACACATATATGTATAATAACCAATTATATATATGTTATAATAACCAGATTAGTTCAATATTTTAGAATGTCGCCCAGTAAAAAAACTTATGTCAAAGTACTTATCTTATATAGAATCTTAAACAAAGAAAGTGAAATTCTAGCGTGACACTTACTGATGAGGAATTTTAATATTAGAAAAGTGGATATGAATATGACGTGCGAATAGACTGGAATGAGTTCATAATTATTAGAAGAGAAACATCAGGATTCACAGACTTTAGTGTATAAATGCGTAAAGAAAAAGTTTGAAAAAATAAATTATACTAACTGTGCGCTAGAAAGAAAAATCATAAATGACTGTTTGTTGGAAGAATTATTATTGTTAAATTTTCACATATGAAGTAACAGAAAAAAACTATTATTCTAAGAATATTTAATAATTATTTTACAGATATACATGTTCTTGACATATTCCAATAAAATATTAGTTACAAAATTACTATTTTTATAATTCTTTATACTAATACTAGTTTTATTAAAATTATAGATATTTAAATACTTTTGGTAAATTTTATATTTATAATATTTATAATACAATTATTTATAATATTTTAATTGAAAGTACCACATTTCATATTTTCTATTCAAAATTGATGTTGGATATAAAAAATTAAATTATATTACATAATTATACGCATACCTTTACAAAATTTTTTTGTTCAAATTACTTTACTATTACATGAAATCTATTTAGTCTATGATTTTATAAAACAATAAATATTGCAAAAATATTTGTTCATATAATAAATTTTGTTGTACTTATTAAATATGTTAGCTTATTATATAATCTACGACTTATACTTTTCCAATTACGATATCATATACATTGTTTAATATTATATCTATTATATGGTGTTCAGTAGTTATTCTGATTTATTAATGAATGTAAAATTAAGTTTTTGTAATAAAAAGATATTATTTATTAATTAACTTTTAAGTTTATAAGAAAAATCTATGTATCTATATTTTTTATTCATTATAATTCAATTAATTTGTATATATCGAGTAATGTTTATATAAATATTTATACAGGAATTAAATATGACTATAATAAATTTAATAGAATTTTTTAAACTCATACAAACGTTTTAACCAATAATATATTAACAAACTGATAAATTTTATATAAATTTTAGAAAATCTAAAAAATACATCAATTTATTTACAGCATTTATTAGAAAACTTAAATAACTAATTTTGATATTAAAAAGTGAAAGTTAATCATATCTGGATAAGACTGTTAACATTTTCAATGTTTATAGTTAAATGTTTTTACTGAAAAATAGAAGGACTTATGAAATAATTGTTTTTAAGCTTTAAAAACAGTTTCAATTTAATTTAAATTTTTCAAAGTATAAAACTAATTTAAATATTCAAAGAATCTAATGGCAATATATTTTTAAGCATAATTGTAGTAAAAATACTCTATATGTACCGTCACATCAAATGTATGATTCTTGTTATTAGTATGAAATGAAAATAGTTTTAATAATATATAATATATAATAAACTGTATATTATAATTTATATTACAAAATTCTTATATATAATATAAAATATAAAATATAATTATAACAATAATTTACATTTTTGTATAGTATATTAAGTAAGTATATAAATTTAATAGCATAATGTGTTAAAAAATAGTATGATTAAGTAAAATAGTAAACAATAAAATATAATTTCGATTAATATTTTTAATTATAAATTCAACGTTACTAAAATGAATTATATAATTCATGATATATAATTTATGATAAAATTCAAACGTTAGATTTTGTAAAATTTTTGTTCCCGGAGTTGGCTAGATTCGTACTGTTTTAGAAAGCTATAAATACACAAATTAAAAAAATTCACATGTAGAAATTATTAAGAAAATAGAAAACAGAAAATAAGGATAATAAAATAAATAATTAAATAATTTTCACCTATCAAATAAAAAATGGGACATAAATTAAATTGTTTTTATATCATTTCAAGATTCAAATAAATTAGGAATTAAGTATTATAAAAAATAAGTATCATTAAATAAGTATAAATAAGTATCAAAATTAGTATCATAAAAAATTTCATAAAAAGTTTAAATTTTAATTACAGGTATTTACTGTCTGAATATTATTGTTGCAAATTGTTTACTGCAGATTTTTTTAAAAATCATCGCTGTTTCACAGGAATTGACAAATAATTCATTTCACGATCCCATTAAATTCATTTTAATTTTATTGTTACGTGTATTTGTATTAAATACTTTATGATTGTATATATTCTTAAATATATTCGTAATATATTCTTTCGTAAATCTTTAGAATTTTTTGATTAATTATAGTATAGTTTTTAATGAATTAATTATGAATTATATGCAAATATTTTTTAAATTGAAGATGGTAGGTATATGTTTGGAATTCCTTTACATTTATTTATATTTCTGCAGTATCTTATCAATTCATTATAAAATAATTATCGATTATCATTTTAAATTCTTAAAATTAAAAAAAGGAAGAAAAAGTTTTTAAAGATATTTCATTCTATAATAAGCATTAATTTAAATTATTTTTCTATTCTTCAGGAATGGTGTTCATTAATACTAATTCAATTAACATGATACTTAAATTGAAAATAATATCAACAGAAGAAAAAATAACGCATCGATGTATATGTTAAACGTATTTTTTGCTTTGCACCCTTTATCTTCTGTTGTATTTTTTATATTTTTTTATTTTTTCATGCATTGCATCTATACATCTGTTGACTTTTTATAAATGCATTCTTGAAGTCCGATATTTTTATAATGCTTTTTCCAGGATTTAAACTTATATATTAACAAATTCATTTGCCTTTTAAATACATTAAGCGATTTCTTATGAAAATCGGTAATAAATTGGAATGATAATTTAATCATAATTTATCCTAAATTGTTTAATACAAATATTTGAAATCTTCACTGAAAATTTTTATTTGTTTAAATAATATAAGCGACATATAGAGCGTCTAAGCTCTATAATCATTAAAATAAAAATTTAATATGTATACAAGATAATATTATATTTAAAAATTATTTTGGTTTTCTTTATAAAATGTCTTATAATTATATGTATTATATAATAATTAAATTAGCTAAATAAAGTGATGAAAAGCTTACCTCAAGTGCGTCCTGTGCGGTTTGTAAATATTCGCGAAGCATGGCTTCCTGAATAGCACGCCATTCCTGTCTAGGATCTTCGAGCTGTGTTGTTTCTATAAAAAATACCGTTAACCTGATAAGGAGCAATGAATGTTTAAATGTTTATTATTTATTTAACTTACTTATTGAAAAGTACAAAAATTATAGGTGCCCCGAATAATTTATGACAATTCTTCTAATTATGACAGTGTGAATAATTTTCTCAAGATTAATTGAATATAAATATTCATACTGTTTCATTATAAAGTTTTAATTTATATACTTAATAACGTTTTTTTAATAAAAATTATTATTAAATTTATTTAAATATCCTTTTCTTATAAATATTTCGATTTCTAATAATACATATCTTAAAATTTGATTTTTTATTCTTTTTTTATTCTTTTATATATCTTTAATATTAAGCTGATTAATATAGATATGATACTTTACATTACATATATTGTTATAATAATATCGTATAAAAGTGAAATGGAAAGTCAAAAAAATATATTTATATAGTAAAATAGTTAATTCATGGAATTTAGTAAAATTGACAAGTTTAACTCAATAATAAAATATTAATATTCACCTAAATATATAGATGTTTGATTTTCACCATGTATCTATGAAAAATTTATCAATAAGATTTCTTTTAATATTTTTAGACGGTAGTAGTGAATTTCTTTTCTAAAGCTTAAGACCAATTGTTTAAATTGGTGTATGCCCGAATGTAGGAAAAGAGGGTATTAACACCGTTTGTGTCTACTTACGGTTAACATGATTGATATAGTAAACACCCACGTGCTTGTCGTAGGCTTCCTCCCATCCGAGTGGAAGCTCATTACCGATGCAGTCTGCAAAAGTCTGCGGTTTGGTAAATCTGTAATTAGATCCAAATGTTCATATTCTCTTTGATACTATATTTGTTTATCAATCAAAGTCAACCAATCCTCAATAAATCAATGTTTCACGTTCATTTATGAAGTTATATTACCAGTAACTTACTTCAGAAGGTATTGTGATTGATTTCACAAACACTTTAATTTGCTACAATTTTTACAATTTTTTTATGCTATATTTTATGTATATGTGTCCAAAATATTCACATTAATATTAACAAGCTTTAAACATAATAATTATCTAATTATCTAATTAACATAAATAAATGTAAATATTGTATTAATTAAAGCACATCTTTTATGTTTGTATTTAATGGCATATGTAATAGAAAATAATATAAGGTAAGATAGAATTTTGAGTATAATTTTCCACTGCTCTTTATTTTAATTATTAAAATTGTGTTATTTATTACTGATTTAAAAATGTGAATTAAATAATAAACTAAATATTTACAAATGTTTAAACAAAATCCTTTATAGTTCGCGCCTTCCATTTGCTATTTGAATGATTTCATTTTGTTGTTAAATACAATAAATCAATTCATTCAAAATGTTCTTTCAATAATTCGTGACATAAAATTTATAGTATATTAGAGATTAGAAAATCTAGTTTACTGAGTAATAATATTAAAAAGCTTTATTCTATCATAATGTACTTTGTATATGTTATTAATCACAATTGCTAAATGACTTGTGTTTAACACAATCTAAATGATACAATAAAGTAATATACTAGATGTAATATACTAGATTTTGCTAAATTAAAATTATGTTAAAATTACGATAGAATATGTCTAAATATTATCGAAAGGGTAATTATCTTCGGTTGTCTAGTAATATAAACAAATATCACTAAATGCTAAACTAAAGTTATATATAAGCCTTTTTAAACATCGTATATAACATAAAATGTTTCTTAAAAGGCATATAAATATAATAAATACATTAATTTCAAAAACTATAAATCCGCAAATATTTTTGTGAACTATTTTTCTAATCTTATATTTAGAAAATAGAAAAATTTTTAAAAATTAGTACTAATGAACCTATTACAATATCGTTCTTGAGATGATGCCATTTAGAGATTGATTGCTGTCGTTGCAGGTAATGAACTGACCATTGTGACCAAAAATGCTGTACACGCTGCTGTAAAAATTTCCAACGAGACAAACCTGATATGGATAATCCCTTCAGCGATGGCTCGGGAATGGTTGTTAGTGAGCTTCCAATGTGAGAATGTCCAGGTGTCAGTAATAAAAATTCTCCGGGTCTTTGCTCATTGGTTCCAATGGTCTCGAGATGACGATTGCTTCAATTTGTGTAAGCAGGGTGTTGAGTTCTTCAAATGTCAGCATGGAGTCTCGCATGGTTCTTCTCAAATGGTATTTTAAAGATTTTATGATAGCTTCCCACTTGCCTCCCATATGAGGCGCCGCGGGTGGGCTAAATTCCCATTGAGTATTGTCTTGCGAGAGCATCTTCTCTAACAGTTGATGTTCGGCATTGCCTTTGGCAAATAATTTTTTAAGTTCTGCATCAGCTCCTATGAATATTGTATCACAGTCTGAATGTAATGTGTTGGCAATTCCTCGACGGGCTGTAAATCTTCTGTATGCTGATATGAAGCCATCGGCTGTGTAGTCGCTGACTACCTCGATGTGCACCGCAGATGTCGCGAAGCACACAAAAATACAAATCCATGCTTTATGTGATTTTGCGCCTCGGCCCTTCCAAGCCTTTATGGTTATAGGGCCGGCATATTCAACTCCTGTATGTGTGAAAGGTCTAGATGGTGTCACTCTTGTTATTGGAAGTTGTCCCATCAGCTGTTTGGCGCGGATTCCCCTCTGTCGCTTACATATAACGCATTGTGTTTTTTTACAGCTAATCCTCCACCAAGAATCCAGCATCTTTGTCGTATGTATGCTAGCATGAGTTGAGTACCTCCATGGAGTGTGCGTAAATGTGCCTGTTCAATGACGAGATCTGTGAGTCGCGATTGGCGAGAAAGAATAGCTGGATGCTTGTTATCCAGTGTGAGTGCTACTTCTTCGAGACTTCCTCCTACTCTGATTACCCCTTTGCTGGTCGACGTATGCTGACAGCTGACTGAATGCGTGATTCTCTATCTGTTTAGTCTTGGAACAGAGACCTTTCAGTTCCTGAGGGAAATATGCGGATTGAGTAGCCTTTATCCAGAAAATTCTTGCCTTCTCCAATGCTGTAGTATCCATGGTCGTCTCTTGACCTTTTTTTAATCGTGCGATGAAAATTTGACAGAGTACTGTCCTTAGCAATAATTTTGTGAGACCTGGAACATATCTACAGTGTGTACCTGAGGTGAGGTCTTCAATGCTGGAAACTCTGTTTCTCACAAACTCCTTCCATCCAGCTGGATGGGTTTTTATCAAGGCGAGGGTTACTCTCGAGTCAGTCCACATGTGTATCACCCTTACATCCATTTTCAGTTTGGCTTGGATGTAGTGCATTAGTTTCGATAGAATCAGTGCAGCAGTAAACTCCTATCGTGTTATGGTCATCAGTGAAAGTGGCGCACCTTATTTTTTGAGTATGTCAGCACAGTCATGGTGCTGTCCGAGCCATCGACGAATATGTGCATGATTGTCGAAATGGCTATAGTGATGCATCTGAAAAAACCATGTCGCTCTATGGAACAGGTCATCTTTATGTTGTGTGAAGTGGTATTAATAATTCTATCAGGTCGAAGAGATCTTTTCTGAACGTTAACCATTATGAGGAAAGCTGCGATGGTGGTCTCTCGTCTCACTGTAGCTTGTTCAAGCAAGGCTCCTGCTTGATTATATTAGTCTTTATCACAATGGATGCCGTAAAGCCCAATGGATCAAATATCCAAGCCACTTCTGATGACATGAGGCGATTGGTCGTGTTGTCCACTGGAGCCGGAGCCTTTCCCATCGTGAATGAACTATCTTCTGATGAGACCATGTTAAGCCAAGCATTTGTGTGGTAATCATCGATTATATTGAGTTATCATTCCAATTAGCATTGATTGCGAAGATTACATCTTGGTGTGTTACATGCCATTTTACTAACAGGAAAGCGCCCGCCATATAGAAGTTTTGTTATTAGAGTACCACTTCATTAGTTGTTGTTCTGGAGTATTTGTATTTCCAACAATGTCGACAACATAGCTTCCATGTATAGTGGATGGCACGGCTTGAGGGTAATTGCTTCCTTCGTCTTTCACCAATTGGAGAAATGTACTGACTGCCAGGATTGGGGCAGCTTTATTCCATGGATGAATGTTGGGAAATGGTATGGCACTGCTGCTCCTTTCTCGTCTCTATTTAGAATCATCTGTAGGTCCCAGTCTTACTTCTTGGTTGATTTAAAGCACACTGTGATGCGACAGATAATATCGGACCTGTTGATTCTATATTCGAGGAGTTCTTGTCACCTGATGAAGATCCTCATATTCCATTCTAAACTGTTAATATAAATCTCGATACTCCTGATTTTTTGGAAATTTCTTTAGCATGCCTGTAGACGTTGTTGTTGTTTTGAACGAATTACCAAGGCGATTGGCAGATTTGCTACACAGAATTCACACTGTGCATATCCTGGAAGTGTCACAGGAATAAGCATTCTTGTACTCAGTCTCACCCTGTTCTTCGTCTGGTGTGTATTGATTTTCTTCGCTTGGTTGAGGTTCTTCCTATTTCCAAAATTTTAACAATAATTCATATACTGCTGTGGTTTATCATCCTGTGCCCTTGCTTGGTAGGCTGTCGAATCCACAATCTCCATGGGATTTACGGGTCTTAGCACTAGCTATCCAAAAACTGATAATTATTCCATTGGCATTGATGGCGAAGGGATGATTACATGGGGTTTCATAACCTGTCCGTATGTGTCTACTCCAAGAATGATGTCTACTGAGCATAGTGTAAAATACTGCGGATCGGCCAGTATTAATCCCTTCAAATTAGGCCAATTTGGTGAAGTTATTTTGAATAAAGGAGTAATTAGCGTCAGTTTGTTGAGGATGTAACTGAATGGTGACACTGGAGTTCGAATGAGTTGAAAAGAGAGTAAGTGTTACTAATCCTTGCGTTGTTGACTTAGCTCTTCCAATTTCATCAATTACGACAATAGAATGTTTTAGGAGCCATGAGTTGTCTGACAGACTTCTCGGTGACGAAGAAAAATTCAGCACCTAAATCAATAAGAAAGAAAGATTATTTACTGATGGTTTCTGACCGTATTTCAGCCATGGCTATTGTGGAATGAACCAGTGTCTTGACGATTGCTTCCTCAGGTCATTTGGCTTGTGTCCTTGACATGTTGACTTGAGGGTTATTACCAGTACTATCTTCAGAGTATAATGCGAGTCCATTGTATGGATGCCTTTCTAACTCCCAGAGTAAGCGTGCGAGGAAAGCACTCCTGATGTTGCTTTCTTAATGCCCTTTGTGGTTTTATTGTACCTTCTTTGTTCAACATTTTTTACCTTTACTATCATATGTATTGTATTGTTCTGCACAGAGATGGGAGTTCTCGAATCTCCTGTTGCTTCTTTTTCCTGTACTCTTGACAATAAGTTGTTACACGCAGAAATGTGAGAATACAAAGCTCTCGCTGTTTATTAGTATGATGATTTCTCTTGTGACAATTATAGTGATGAACTTGTAAAATATAATATTAAACTCTCACGGTTGCACAGCACTGTTGAGATATACTAATTTTCACTATATCCGGGCAATCGAGGATGAATTTTCCGTGATTTGGCTGACCGGCTCTTCCCGTTAAATCTGCTATCCGACGCTGCGGCTTTGCGGATATCCGAGTCGAAGGATCAACAATCCAATGATCCGGCTCTCCGAAATATCCGGCTCGAAGGACCAAATGTTCGAAAGTTGTAGTGATGTAATTCTTGGCTCGAACTGCCAATGCTTCAATAGCTTAGTTTGCCGCCCGCCCTAGCAGACGCTCGGGAAGG